GGTCGAGGGTACCATGTCGAGGGTATTAAAACATGAAATAAGATAAATAAAAAATAAAAGAAATAAAATAAAATAATAATTAAAAATAATAATTAATTCGGAAATCTTCGGGAATCTCCGGAACATTTTAGAAAATGTTCAGAAAGTTTCGTATGCCCTTCGGACAACACTCTGAAAAACTTCTATAGGCGGTCAGAATTCATCGGAAAATCGAGTTCGTGTTTTCTTTTGAAGCTGACCGCTGACCAAGTTACTTTTTACCGTTGTATCGCGGAAATTTTTTTCATGTTTCGAGTTCAATTAGAAATTAATTTGCACTTGGGAGTTTTTTTTTCAAAGCGGCTCGCGCAATTTTCAGCTTTTTGAAAAACTCACTCGTGCAAATAACTCTATACGGTATGATTACCTATGCAAACAATATTATACATGATGCATGAATTTTTCTCCTCGTGTTAAACAAATAGCTCAAATAGCGAGTGGTAGCAAATGGTATCCCACGGATCTTCCTCGGCAATCTTCGGATATTTTCGAACGTTTTCGGAAATTTTCTCAGAATTCGGAGAGTGTTCGGAAACATTCGTACAATCTTCGGATAATTAGTAAACTGTGTCTCTCCCGTCCCCCTCCGCCCCCCCCCCCTCCCTCCCAACAAAACAAAAGGATATTAAAGAAAAGTATTCTACAGCATAGTTAAGCGGTTGATTAATTCCGACTGTATGGGAGCCTCGAGCTCCAAGATAACAAAACAAGAAGGTCCTGCTTGCATTACGTGTCACGTGTCAGTGTAATTTCAAAGAAAAGCGCAACCAAAGCATTTCCATTTTGCGGGATAATTTTTTCAATAAGACTTCGAATACGATCACGGACACGATCACAGACAAAACCCACATCAAGAAATCTCGGCATCTAGTTTCTTTTATTGAACTAGCTGCTTACACGAAAAATTCCACGTCTCAGGTGCAAACAAGAACAAAATAGTCGAAAAAATGTGATATGATTTAGTTCACCATCATTATCTATGTTTACTTCGAAACAACATTTAGATCACATGCTTCAAGGACAGCACGCTGGCCAGGTTCCAATGCAGCAAAAAGCTCGTTGGAAATGAAGACAAGGCCGGTAAATACCGGATTTTTGCGTCTTAGATGTGCACACGACGGGTGATAATAAGTGTTAGAATAATCATGGCTAAATACGAGTTGTCCCGTAACTTCGTTTCTTCGAATTACCCTTCTATCCACGTGTTTAACGACAAGGTTAAATGGTGGCTTTCTATACTTGTCCACAAAGTCACTACCGCATCCATAGCACTTTTGTACTTTGGTAGGCAATAAACAAATCTCATAATGATACGGCGACAAGCCGGAATGCCACTGCTCGTGGGGTGTTGCATGATAGGGAGTACGTGCCATTCCCGACGACGAAGGTTGGTACAGCGACCGAGGCTGGTACAGTGACGGAGGTTGGTGCTGCGACGGAGGTTGATACAGCGACGGAGGTTGGTACAGCGACGGAGATTGGTACAGCGACGGAGGTTGGTACAGCGACGGGGACTGGTGCAGCGAGGGAGGTTGGTGCTGCGACGGAGATTGCTGCGACAGAGGTTGGTGCTGCGACGGGGGCTGGTACAGCGAGGGAGCACCAGTACAGCTCGGCAAAGGAAACAACGGAAAAGGCTGAGAGGCTGGTACTAAGCTATAATTTGAAGACAGAAGGTCAGGTGCAGGCACATGAGAGCTACTAGATGCAGTGGTGTGAGATGGACGGTCTCGCTTGTCTGTCACAGCAAACGTCCCAGTGGCGGCAGTTTGTTTTGGTCTGTTAACCTTATCTTTTCGGGTGGCCTCCTGTGTGCGTTTTTTCCTTTCTGTCGGGCGAAAAGACGCTGCCGGATCGATTGTCAGACCTTCGGCATCGCTTTGTAACAATTCCTCCCCCATCTTTCTAGCTTTGTTCAGCTCACGCGCATATTCTCGTTTCTTACTTTGTAAGAAAGATGGCCCATCCCCACCTGTAGCTGTTCCCGCAGCATAACCTCTTAATTCCGCGTCTAACAATAAGGAGTCTCTAACGTCTGCTTGGCAGACCTCAAGAAGCGACATGTTTGGGTTATCCCGATGTCCCCAACCGGCATGGATGACCTCTGCTTGGTTCATTCTTGGTCCATTTTTCGGCGCAAAGGCACGGAAAATGAAACCTCTTCTGTCATGCCACCATGATAACCAACTTTGCAAGAACGATCGCTCCTCCTTTGCCGCGATAAACGAATCGAGACGTTTCTTAACAGTGTCGTAATGCTTTTCTGATACACTTTCAAGAAGTTCGTTGCAAAGGCTTTTAAATTCCTCCCCGCTTTGACTGTCGAGTCTATTCGCCTTTTTGTTTCGGTGGTCTTTGAAATGAAATTCGCAGGTTTTGATTCGTGATTTTGTACTTTCACCGAATACAGCACACAGTCCGGCTAAGTTTGCCCCTGCCAAGTCTGTACACCAGCCAATGGGATTGAAAGTTTCATTCTCACTGCCAGAAACTTTCTTTAAGATTTCGTTAAACAATTCCCAAAAGAGTGCGACATTTTGAGAATTTTCCGATTCCGCTTCCATTGTTCCCAGAATTATTTGTTTTCGCAGGAGCGAATGGTAGACGCTGGCAGTTAAGGTGACAAAGCCACGACAACGTTTGTACTTCCCGTCAAAATAACAAAATTCGCTATTGAGATAATGACTGCCATTTCTGTTCATGTTCAACGCTATCTTAGCTTTCTCTCGACTTGATTTAAACACGAAGGACGGCTTGTCTGGGTTTCCGCGCCTGTCATTAACTTTGTAAACATAAAATTCGTCCTTTTCATCACAATATTGCTTAAACGTAACCACTGCCTCGAAGTTGTGCCCGACTGGCTCAATGTCTTTCTTCAATTTTTTCTTTTCGTTGGAAATCCATTGTTTATCCAATGTTGCTTCGGCTTGCTTCTCTACGTCGCGCCAGTCGCACTGCTGGCGGATTGTCGATAATATACACGCAGACTGTAATTCTGCGGGTTTAATGTTAGGATTGTCCTTTAGAATCTGATGCACTTGATCTGTGTTTTTGACCGGTGCCTTTATCACTGGACAGGTGTGCTGTCCACAGTGATAGACTTTGGCTGACTTCTTTCCATAACTTATATATCTACGAGCAGAGCAGGGAACAAACTCAGCCATCAAATCACAACCCTCACAATGAAATTCTTCGCCGGTCTTCTTTTTCTCAAACTGCGTGGTGTTAATCACACCGTA